TTAAATATTGTAATAAATATTTAATGTTAATAAAATTTTAACAAATTTTAATACTTTATAAATAGTGAATAAATGTTAAAAATATTTTCGAATTAAATAATAAAAAATTTAATAAATATTGGATGCATGTTTAATAAATATTTAATAATTAATAAATATTTAATAAATATTGTATAAATTTTAATAAATATTTAAACATTTCGGTAACTTCATAATGCTTCTGCGAGAGTTGTTTATGAGACTATATTTCGAAGTCAGAGGATGATTATGCTTCCCGTAAATTATAAAGAGTATCCATTTTACCATCTGCTTGTAGAACTCCCTTCAACTAGATTTACAATTACAGTTTTTTGTATCAGAACATATTGTACTTTCTATATCTCTATTCTTTCGTTTCACCTATTTTTTTCCCAAACCGATCATATGTAACGTATACCATATCACAAAAAGTATGACCTATACTTAGCTTAATATCATGGCTTTCAGCTGTGTCTCTCGCCCACTGTATTAGATCGTCTCTACAATTAAACAATTATACCCCTCGAAAATATTCCGAATAATGAACTTCCCCATTATCCTGAAAAATAAATAAATTATAACAAAAACTAATTTAAAAAAAAACAAAATAAAAAATAAAAAAAACGAATAGCATCTAAAGTAGAAGCGGACGCATGAAAGACGGCGCCCACATTGAACGCGAATACAGTGTATTGCACGCCCAACATGTGCGCGCTATCTGTTTCGTCTTCTAGATTGTCCGCTCTCTGCCTATGACGATTTTTTGGCAAAAAAATTAAAATCTTACATCCGATTGAAGTTAAAAGGTATTGAACTCATTAGTTGATGTAATTACGTAACAAAAAACGACTTTTGACGACTTTTTAGTATTTTGAAAATCCTAGAAAAAAGTTAGAGTGAAGTCGAGAAAATAGAGCGTAGAGAAAGAAATTTTTTTTTGTAGAGATAAAATATTTTTTTATTAATATGTGGGATTTAGTAAATTTTAGTGTGGAAAATCATAGAAAAAAGTTAGAGAGAAGTTAGAGAAAATAGAGCCTAGAGAGAGAATATTTTTTTGTAGAGAGAGAATTTTTTTTATTTATGTGCGGGATTTAGTAACTTTTAGTGTGGGATTTAGCACCCCCCTATACAAAAACACTTTGTAGTATGAACTTTGTATCATATATCCACATGTACTACTCATAAATACAAAACCCCCTCACATTACATTTTTTCCCAAATATGACGAAAATACCCCTACTCAAGCATTATTTTTGTCATTTTGAGTTTTTTCATTTTTTTTTCTTAAATGTCTTCCGATAGTTCGAATATCCTAAGATTACAAACATCTTTACAATCCTATGATTGTTGAGAATTTGAACGACCGAAAGACATTTAAGAAAAAATAAAGAAATTCAAAATGACAAAAATAAAAGGTTTTATTCAGAAAATAAAAAAAAAATCTAAGTTATTAAATGTTTTGAAGAAAAAAGTAAAAATATCAAATTTCCCAAGTAAAATTGGCCGAAAATGTTAAAAAATATAGTGGAAAATAGCGCAATTAAATTATAGGCTTAGCATGGGTATTTTCGTCATATTTTGAAAAAAATATAACAGTAAGAGGGTTTTTGTATTTATGTGTAGTACATGGGGTATATAGATACAAAGTGTATAGTATATGGGTGTTTTTGTATTTAACCCTAAAAAATATAAATGCATAATTAATTTCGGCAATCGTGAATACAATGCCTTATCCAACTAGTTAAATTCCCTTTAGATAGGGGCACGTGCTAACCAAAATTGAGCGGGAAAATGTATCACCGTTCAAAATTCAAAAAATTACCCTGACTATATATTTCACCAACAGTCTTTAAGAGCGCCAAGAGATTTTGCAGAGCCCAAAAAAGCAAAAAAAAAAATTAAAAAAAAAAAAAATCAATCTCTGAATATGGATCTCTTTTGTTATTTTCCAGATCTGGGGTAATGATAAATTAATTGAATTATGATCTTCGATTTTGGTATTTTTAGGGTTAAGTCTTTTTTCTAGTAAATAAATTGCGGAGATGGATTTTAAGAGTATGAAGCGCAAGGAGCTGCAGGGATTATGCAAGAAGCACGGAATTCCTGCGAATTTGTCAAACCTGGAGATCGTGGACAAGCTTACGGAGTTTTTTAAGGTAATTTTATCTTGCATTTTTTGTATTTTTGTTGTTAATTTTATTTCGGAGGTTCAGTATTTTATTGGTTTCCTTAATTGTCTAATTCAGCAAAATGAAAACCCGTCAATTCAAGGAAAGATAGAGGGGGAGGGCGAGATTTGTAGCGAAACTGAATCCACTAGTGTTGATGTGAATAGGAAAGTTAAAAAAGTTAGGTTTAGTCCGGATCATGAATTGATCGAGTTCACGAAATCCAGATCGCCGAAAAGAAGAAGTAAGAGGTTTTCGAAATCAAGCGGGGATGTTAGTTTGCATGTTGGGAATGTTGATAAATTGAAAGATGGAATTGTGGGTGTTACGGGTAGAACTACGAGGTCTAGAGGTTCGAAATTGATGGAGGACAAAGTAAATGAGAAGAAGGAGATAGATGATGTTTCTGCTACAGACAGGGTAACTAGGCTGCGAGGGAAGAGTGTAGGAGAGGGTGTTGAAAATACGAGCAAACGGGGAACAAAAAGGGCGAAAGACGAGGATGTAAGAGAGAAGAAATCTTCTGATAGTGCCGATGAGAAGAATTTAATCGAGGATATCGTGGGCAACCCAGGTAGGGTTACGAGGTCTAGAAGGCAGAAATTGATGGAAGCTTCTATGAAAACAGATAATGAAGTGACAGAGGTTGCGAAAAATATTAATGAGGTTGCTTTGGTTCGTGCTGAAATCGATGAAAACAGAGTTGTTACCAGAAATTCTCTGAGGAAAAGAGGAGTTGTGGGTGAAGGGAAATTGGCTAGTGGTGCAGGTCAAAGTTTGAAAAGAAATGGAAAAGGGTTGGAGGAAGTTCCGAAGAGTGATGAAATTGAAAGGTCGGATGTGGTGGATGAACCTCGGATTTTTTTGAGGAGATCTAAAAGGAACGGAAATGGGAATGGTGATTCTGCAGTTATTAATGGTGATTCAAAGCAAAATGAGAAAGTCGGGAGTAAGGGCTTGAAAGATATTAGTCGAAGTGAAGTTGATGTGGACGGAAGATTAGTTGTACAAGTTGAAGAACCTACTAAACTGGAACCGCGGAAAAGTAACAGGAGGAAGAATGCGACTGAATCAAATGAAAATCAAGGAAATGGTGAGCTTAAAGCAAAAAATAAGAGAAAATATCCATTGAGGGGTTCAGTGAAGGAATTAGTGGTTGCTGATGAAGTTTCTAAAGATGGCAAAAAGGTTCGGAAACCTACTGTAGCTACAAAGTGGACATCGCGTTCAAATTTCCTGGTTTCTACTAATGAAAATATCGACACTGATGCAGCTGTGGAGAATTTTGAGACAGGAAAACGTTTGAGTAAACCATGTCGATTAAAGAGGAGAGGTTCTGCAGTTCTAAGAAATACGAGAAGATCTGGACGGATTGCTTCTAACGACAGAAGGGTAGTAGTTCTGGAAGAATCTGAAGAAGATTCTTTCAGTCACCATAAGATTGAAGCAAGGAAGCGAAAAAGTGGTCCCACCTCGGGAAGCGATGTAAAGAAGACCAAAGAAAATCAAAGTGAAATAGCTGCTGCCCCTGCAGCTGCCATAGGTGAAGTTTCTGGCCAAAGCAGACCTTCGAGTAGATTGAAGGAACCTTATATGGATGACACGTCATATCAAGGTGTGCTGGATACTGAAGAATTGTTACATGTTGATGCTCAGTTGTCAGAAGGGGCAGAAAGCACGAGTAATGAAAAAAGTTCCAAGAACGTTACTAGTGATGTGGGACCGACTTCAAGCAGAGAGAGGCAAGATTTATCCATTGAAGATACTGCTGCAAGAGCTGATATGGATTTGATCGATGGAAATGAATTTGAGAACTTAGGAGAAAATGCAGCATCTAGAATTGGTGATGAAACAGGTATCAAGAGTATGATTATACCTTGTTTGTTATTTATTTTACGTCTAGTTGTTAACCCACTTACTGAAAGATACCATACATTTGTTTGTTTTATTTGCAGGTGCTCTAAATGTGGCAGAGACTGAAGTCGAAGGAATTCCTGTTCAAGAGAATCTGGAAATTATTGAAACCAGACAAGCTAATGTGATAAGTTTGCCAATTGCAATCGACCATAATGATGTGGACCATTTGGAAGCATCCAAAATTATTTTTGATAACAATAAAAACGACACATCCCCAAAATCAGGAGAAGTTGGTATTCTCGAGTCTTGCGGTATATAGTTGTACTAGAATTTGGATATATGTACTTTATTTATCACATTTTTACATCACCTTAGCAATGCCCTGATGTACTATTGGTGTATGGCAGAGGGACGTGTTGATTCTACTGAGTCAAAGAGTGCGTTGCAACTGAAGGAGCCATCTTCTGGCAAACTGAGAAGGGTTGAGGGTGATAGTATAGCTGAAGGAGATGAAACGTTTTTACCTAATGGTATAGAATTAAAGTTAGCAGAAACTGAAATAAAAAAACCAGTTGTGGCTTCTGATAAGCAAGGGGTGTGTAATGATTCTTTGGCTGTAGCCTCCATAGCCGTCTGTGAGAATAGTATCGAAAATAATCCGGACAGAGGCCTTGAGGTTGATTATAGCTCTGAAAAAGACGAAGCCCGTTCTGATAAAAGTATGCCTGATCAGGATGGATCCTCTGAGGTTTACAAGAGCAAGTGTGGCGATGAAGATGGGAAACTCGACGAGTCTGATATGTTTGTTGCTGTAAGAACGGCTCAAGATGGAGAAAATGCCGTCGAAGTTTCTGATGAGCAGGGAATTTTTCACGATTCCCTTTTGGTAGAACCTGCAATTGCGAGCTACTGTGCCAAAATTAGAGACGAGGCTGATAAGATCGATGAAGGACATGAAGCTTATGTTCTTGAGGATATTCAGTCAGAATTACCTGAAATCGAGGAAGGTGGAAGCTGTGATGAAGTTAAGGGAGGATCAAGTGTACAGGATACAAGTCCATCGAAACCAGATAGTGTTTTCGACACTCAAGGTACTCATACAATATCTTACAATTTACAAAAGTTTCTCATGGTAATGTTTAGAGCTGCTGTTTATATTATCGGAAAATGATTTCAGGTTCTGGTCCCACAATTTCTAACATATGTGACGTCCACCGAGAAACTGGTCCTACTGCTGACACTATTCAAGAGAAAGAAGTTGATGGTGCTCAAAGTCATATACCAGGAGATGAACCTGTGGAGAAGACTGTTAATGACGGGGAAAATGATAATCGAGCTGACGACGTTACGGCTAATTTTACATATGAACAAGGTGTTTACTACAAGCTTACTATTTATGTTTTTACTAAGATTTCCTTTTCATCACTCTAATTATCTTGCTGCTGCAGAGAAACCAAGAAGTCCGTTGGCCCTACCTACTGCTACTGAGAATATTATCCAAGGGGAGGAAATTTCGGTATGTGCAAGTGAAATGGAGACTAACGGTAAGGAAGAAAACAATCTGGTTGTTGCAGGTTCTGATTCCGATAAGGATGGTAAGTTCACACCGATGAACTTTCGCTTTATTTAGTAAGATAGAATCTTCATGGTGTTAATGTTGTTTATGTATTATTGCATCTCTAAGAATGGATTCCAAAATTTTATTGCTATTGTAGACAATGATAAAGAGGATTGTAAGGATGCATGCATTGCAGAAGCAGAAATATCTACGGATCGCAGTATCAGCGAAATAGGGAATGAAAGTACTCCTGAATTGAAGCTTGAAGACACTGATGCAAACTGTGTCGAAGATAGAGAGGATCTTGCTGATGCACGTGTGGCAGATGTAGAGATATCCGTGAATTGTACTATCGGTAAAATTGGGGTCGAAAGTCTCACTGAGTTGAAGTTTCAAGACACGGTGGAAGCTGAAAATCAATGCAAGAACCAAAGCTGGGATAATGACGTGGATTCCAACCACAGCTGGACAGGTTGGCTCAGAGTCTCAAACATCGAATTTCACTACATTCAATTATGTTTAAATTTTGATTAGTTTTTTCGGATAATAATGCAGAACTTGAATTCAACAATCTCTTTGGAGCAACTGTGGATAGTGTCACTCCCACCGGTCCAAATGATACTTCCTATCAAGAAACTGAAGTACAAAATCCGATGGTGTCTATGAACAAATCGATCACCGAAAAGGAAAAAGAGATGGAGGGAGAAACGGGAATCGAGTCTGACTGGGGAGGTAAAAAGCTCACCACTCTTCTACTTGTTTTTTTATATATAAATTATGCTTGTGTAATTCGTTATTTTTTTTTTCTTTTTTTTGTAGAAGATCAGCTTAAATTGCTTTTTGCAACTCCAATCAAGAGTCTTGAACCGTTGAATGCCTCGACTGCAGTTATTTCTGAAGCTTCCGCGGAGCAGTTGAATGATGATATATGTGCGTCCCTTGGAGAAACTAATTTTACACCAGAAACAAACAAAAAAGAACAAATAGAGAAAACAGTTATTAGCTCGTCAGGTTCAATGAAGAATTCGGACGAACTTGAAGGAAGTCGAGACATGTTAATAGATACTGATTTGCCAGAAGACATCAGGCTCGAGAGTGGGGTTTATCTTGAGGGAGAAACGGCACAACGTGGTGATGGTACATTTGAGTTATCTGACGTTGACTTTGAGAATAGTCACATTCGTACTGCCTGCAATGAAGATGTCAACATTTCGACGGAAACATCAATGCCTACTTACGGAAGCCCTCTGAATGAAGAAGTAGCAAAGACCGGCAGATTTGAAGACCAGAAAGACGAGGCAGAAAAAGGTAGCTTAAAACGTACTTATGGTCGCCATCTTATATTAAGCTATTATCAGATTGGTTTTGGTTTTCTAATTCAGTGATTTAAATTAGTACAGTTATGAAATTTCATGAGACGAGGGTAAATAATTGTAGTTTCAGTTAATTTTTTTTATGTTTCATGTGTTAATTTTAATGCTTCTCTCATATCTTTGTAGGGACCTCCCTTAGTCATCTTCCAAAGTTCTCCGATGATGATGATGTCACATGCAACGAGACAGGCACGAATAACCAGAATGTAGACAGCATAGTTCCCACTGCAGGTTTAGCACTTAGACTATATACTTGTGATCTCCAACATTTGTTGAATCTTTTTAATAATGATAGCATGCTTTTATTCCTTCTGTTACAGAAAAAAGATCCTCGTTCTGTGGTGCTGAATCTGATGCCTTCACCAATTCAGCGATGCGTCTTCTTTTCGGTGATAATGAAAATGTTGATGTTGAAAAATTCGATTCGGAAGTTGACCATGAGAATAATAATAAAGAGCTTCGTTTGGAAGGAGAAGCGGTGGAATCGAACAATATACACACTGTCCAAGATATACCCGCCACTGAATCTTCTGTATCTGCCGAGTTAGACGACTCATGTGGGACCACCTTTCTGATAGATGTATTGCCACACATTGTCGAAAAGACCACATGTGAAAACGCTGCCTTGTCTAAATCCGAGGATGAAAACAACAATTCATCAGTTAAAAGTCTTGAGACAGCAACTGAGAAACCTGCACTAGGATCCTCTACATGTGTCGATTTGCTTGTTGAAGGTATAAAATCGTACTTCATTGATTTTATTGGATCCTAAATTTGTGTTTATTGCATCTGATGATCTATTTTTTTTAAATATTATTTATTTCAGGCTCGACTGGTGATAGGGCGTTAGATGCGACAGAGAAGAAGAATGCAAGAACCATATTGATACACGGAACTCCTGCTAAGGTTTCGAAAATGGCGGATATGAAAGAGAATGCACCGATGCATAAGACTTCAAATGTTGTTGGTGATTTTACTACAGCCAGACCAGCAAAAAGGAAAGCTTTGGAGGATGTTCAATGGAAATAGGTGCTCTTTTTTATTTTATTTTTAATGTTTTATTTGGTAAGTTTAATGGAGTTCAAATGTGTTGTCTGCTGTGAGGACACCAACTGAAAACTGCCCTTTTGCTAGTTCTGTATATGCATATCTCATGCGTTTGCCAAATATTTACGAACATATCTTTTGATTAGTTTGCTTGGTTTTCTAAGGGTAAATTTGTAATTTGACCTTGCCTCGAACATATCTTTCGATTAGTTTGTTTGGTTTTGTAAGGGTAAATTTGTAATTTGACCTTGCCTCAGTGGGTGACGTAATTTACCCTAAGATTTACGAAACAGTCTATTTTACACACATTCACGTGTATGCATGCATATGATTATATAATATGTAGATAAAATCTGCTTGTAAGAATTACAGTAAACCATTTGTCTTATTAAGGTAACAATTCATATAACTAAAAAACCACAGACGAAAAATCCCAAATCCGAAGAAAATAATTAGGATGAAAGGACATACATCCTTGTATCAGGCCCTTATTCAGAAGAGAGTATAAATTATGAAGGAAACAAAAACAACAGGGCAACTTTTACATGTTCGTTTTTTCGAATTACACAAAACGCAAACTTATCCAAAGAATAAATTAAAAAAAAAACCCGAAAAAACTTTGCATAAACATATAAATTTTGTGGGGGGTTGCAGTTTTTTTTTTTGTTATCTACAAACAGATCAACCCCAAAGAGCTTCCTTCATCTCCTTTCGGTTGCTTTATACTCGTTCTTCACCGAAAAATCTTCCGTTTTTGCGAACGTTTTTTCTTTAATAATCTTCTTCGCCTAATTACAATCCAACCCACAAACTTCCAACACAACCCCACCTCTCGACACAAACGGGTTGATCCGGACCCACAACAACGAGAATATAGAAGCGAGAAGAATCGACCACACTATAATAATAGTCGGAAGCCCACTTTGCTTCCCCATGAACCCTTTGAGGAAAGGGTATAAATGTACAATCACCCAAAGTGCGAAGAAGAGCCTACCGAATAAAGGCCCCCAAGATTCGTACCCGTTGTTTATTGCGTCCGAAATTCCGACCACGACTCCGATTACATTCATGACCAACAACGTCATTGGTGGGATTAGCAAAGACGTCCACTTGAAGAGGTAGAGTTCCGAAAACGCCCCGTCGTCGGCCGCTTTGGATGTGACGGTGAAATTTGTGTTGACTCCGGCCAAGACTTTTAGTAGACCTTGAAGTAGGGCGAAGAAGTGAGAGGAAACACCACCGATTACCCAAAACTGCTCGTTTCTCCATAAATCGTCTATTGCCACTCCTCCCCATTGCATCTCGAGTATACTTGTTGCGGCGATGGATATAAACATGCCCATGAATACTATACTTGCGTAGTTACTTATCTGCAAATAATCGGAAAAGATAAAAATGAAAATGAACTTTGTCGTAAGCTAAGAAAAAGTATCGGTCGTGTTTTGGGGTGGAAATCGGACGAATAGGATCGGAAAAATTCCATTTATTTTAAGGAAAGTGAAGAATAATATCCCAATTCTATTCCGAAAAAAATAAAATTAAAAATCGCAGCAATCGGAATTTGGGATGAAAAAACTCTTTTTTTCCGTAATCGAAAATTTAAAGGTCGGAATCGGCGGAAATTCAGAATTTTCTAATTTTTAATCACTTGTAATACAAAATACATAATAGTATTGATATTATTATTGGAAATATTTTCGAAAATTAACTACGGATCAGAAATCGGAATCTAATATGTAGTCTTCCAACTCCGTTCCAAACAAAAAAATCGGAAATTGGAACTTTTAGTGAAGTAGGTATGAGTTTCTTGTAAATTCTTACCTCAGGGACGATGAATTTCCCGGTGAGAAGGCAGACAGCTGGCAAGGTGCAGTAAGTGATCAAGGGCAAAGAAGTCAACGGATAAACAACGGAGTTTATGTAGGAGAATCTCTCGAGTGGTTTCAGGCCACAGCCATATCCATACCAAATAGGGCAGTGTCTGCTCAATAGAATCTCAACCGAACCCAAAGCCCATCGAAGAACTTGATGGAGACGATCCGAAAGATTGATTGGAGCCGATCCTTTAAATGCGGGTCTTTTGGGAATGCAGTAGACGGATCTCCATCCATGACAGTGCATTTTGAAACCCGTTAAGATATCTTCTGTCACCGAACCGTAAATCCATCCAACCTGACACACACAAAAAAAAAGATTGATTTTTTATGAGTAATTGATGTGGGAATCAAGAAAAAGAAAATATGTAAGAAATGATTGAGGTATGTAAGTAGTACCTCTTTTCCCCATTCGGTTTTATCTTCGTACCCACAGCTGATCACATGAATGGCTTCTTTTAGTAGCGACGCAGATGTTGCGCCAGGTGGCACCCCACCTTGTTCTAGAAGGGTCGAAGCGATGAAAACGGGCGACTGTCCGAATTTTTTCTCGAACTCGACTTGGGGCATGAGTGATGATTTTTCGTTGTCTATTCCTGCAATTAATATAAGAACCAACTCTTTTAAGCACCAAAATTTGAGTCAATTTGCGTAATGAATATATGTATATGTATGTCCTAACCTTCTACACCTTCTTCGATGTTTTCGAGAGCGTGGATCTGCGTAGAAGCTTCTTTAACCTTGGTCGTTTTCTTGTCTTCCTTCTTGGATTTTCCTTTTTTGCCCTTCCTTTTCGATCCAAAGCAACAGCAACACCATTTAGGCAAACAGTTGCATGTTTTTCCGGGTGGTTTTACTTTCTTGGGTGCATCGAAACCGTAAAGCGCTTGCCTTCTGAAAACACAACCCGTTCCCACGTAAATCGGACCTTGAATTCCATCGAGGCCTTTCATATTTATCTGAAATTACAAAAAGAAAAAAATTAGCTAAAAGCCCGACAAATTCAAAAGATGGAATAAGAGAGGAGAGCCTCTATATATACGTACGTCGAAAAAGACAACATTGCGATTTGAGTATCTATCGTGTCTATCAATTCCATCGAATCTTTGAGGAAATTGAACGTAGCATATTTTCTTTCCCGCTTGAGGATCCATCATGAAACACATAGCTTCTCTTAGAGCTTTGCTGTTGTTTATGTAGTGATCACAATCGACATTTAGTAGGTAAGGTGCGTTCGAAATGACAGCCGACACTCGTATCTGATAAATTAATATCAAATTAAAAAAAAAATATCACACATGTATCATTTTAATTAATCCAAAATAAAAAAGACAATTATTTTACCAAAGAATTCATAGCACCGGCTTTCTTGTGATGATCAAATCCAGGCCTCTTCTCACGAGACACGTATATGAGCCGAGGCAATTCATTCCCTTCGATATCTCGTACACCATTTTGACCCAAGAATACCTTTTCAAGTCAGAAAAAAATAAATTTAGAATTTAAAATTTTAAAATTTCAAAATTTCAAAATTCAGTCTTGAATAATCTCGACTTAAATAAATTATACTAATAGCTCGTTACCTGGATCATTCCAGGGTGATCCCTGACATTATTTCCGGGCCATAAAGTACCGTCTTGCATTGTCCAACCATCTTCCGGAACCTTCTGTGCCATTGCAACCAATGCGTTTATTCTGACTTTGAACTCTTCATACTCTCTCTGCATCCAAATAATTATATATCATTAACAAAAAAAACAAAAAAAAAATTCAGTCATCAAACCGAGTGTACTTAAGAAAGATTAAAAGGCGGTAGGGCCTACCTTCATTGCACGACGCTCCCTCACAAATGTGGGCTCCACTTTGTCCTTCAAATAGTCGACGTTTTGAGCAAAGTACCACTCGGGTGCACGAGGCTCGATGGCGAACTTCTTGCAGAACGGGACCCACTTTCTTGCGAACTCGGAAGTTTCCGACATGGCCTCGAAAGTGAGCATGGCAGCACCATCGTCGGACACGTAGCAGTTGACTTTGTCAATGGGGTAGTCAACTGCAAGTATGGACAGTACCGTGTTTGCTGTAATAAGCGGCGGCTCTTTCAATGGGTCCACTGTACTCACGTACACGTCCACCGGTGCCAGCTCAGACGGCTTCCCTTCTTTCTCATACCTGATATCGAATGTACACACACATGAGAGAGAGAGAGAGAGAGAGAGAGAGAGAGAGAGAGAGAGAGAGAGAGAGAGAGAGAGAGAGAGAGATTATATATATATATATATATATATATATATATATATATATATATATATATATATATATACCTTAGAGAGAGACGGTCGAGGTAAGTTTCTCGTTCGATGGGGGACCATTTGGGGAACTGATCGAGAATCCAAGAAGCGGCAAACCAAATCTCGCATATAATTGATGTAAGCCATAATCCATATGCATCTTTGACAGGGTGCAGAATTCTGTAGTGAAAGAATAAACCGAGAATTGCCATACGGAGTAGAATGACCATTCTGTACGGGTTTATTTTGCTCGAAGGAATCGGTAGCTTTCTTGATAAGGGTTGTCTCCCTTCATCCATCCTGTAAATTTAACAGTAAAAAATAAATTCACCATAACTTCGATGAAAATGTAGAACAATTTATCTTCTTTCATTTTTTAAATGAATTATAATAGGCAAATAACACTCGTGAATTTTCGTAAGCATTACGACATATGCAAGCTGGGACTAATTTTAATTTTTTTTAAATAAATATCAACTTCAAATTAGAAATCTTTGATAAATCATTTATTGCTAATTTCTCTGCATCAGTTTCAGATCATTGTTCCAATCGTGCATACGGTTCGTCACGTAAAATTTAATCCAATTTTGTTGCTATTTCTTCATTTTACGTATTTGATGTAACAGCTAATGAAATATCTAATTAGTGGATACAATGTGGCTAATATTAAACTCAATAAGCTTTCTGTAATTGAAGACAGCTAAACAAAGTTAGTAGTTGGAAAAGCTAACAAGTCAATCACTAACACGTAAATCCTACCCGAAAAAAAATCATTAAATGCCAGCCCACCGACGCTTCAAGCATCACATGAAAAAATAAAATTAAAAAGAAAATAAAAAAAAGGCGTGGGACCTACTTGGGTAAATCGGGATCATCGAGCTCATCACCACCTTTATCACCTTGATGCCTAACAACTTGAAGCTTTTCATTTTGCTTTCTCTTCCATTCTTCCATCCTTTCTTTCCAGGCCACAGTTCCGTAACCGTACACGGCTAAGTCTTTCTTCGGATCCATCGGTCGTGGCGGCACTAAACAATTTCCATAAATTAAAAAAAATAATAAATAAATAAAAATTAAACCGAAGAAAGAAAGAGAAAAAACGCTTACAAGTCATGGATGAATCGGTAAACGGCATAGGATGGACTCGTTTTCCACGGCCGTTAAACGGGGGCACAATTAGAGCATGCTTGTCAGCCGAAATCGCATCATCCTTTAATCCAAGAATACACATTTTAATTAAATTAGAAATCAACAATCGGGATGATTGAAAGTAAAATCAAGATCAAGAAAAAAAAATGTACCTCCTCTTGACCGTAAGTAAGTAGAGGTATTTCAGAATTAACCGCGGCGGGGTCCACATCCGACGAATTAGTGATTCCGGAAGAAGTGCGGCCGATGTTATTATGGCGAGAATAATAAGCTCCTTCGGAAATTTGACGAGTGTGGCCTTTACTATTGTTATTATCGTAATCGAATTCGTTATCCAAATCATCGAATTCTTCTTCATCTTCATCTCCATCAACTCTTGGACTACCTGAAATTTTTTCATAGCTAGTTAATTTTCACCCACAAAAAATAAAAAAAGCAATCTTTGAGAGGAAAAATTGGATATTTAACGACGAAAAAAAACCCGATTATACCCTTTATTCGCTTGAATCGAGTTTTGCACTGAGGGCAAGATTGATTGCCTTCCCTTCTTTCATATTCATAGCAAGGTCTACAAATAGGGAATGCACATTCATTACAGGCAACAAACGGCTCGCCATCGACAGTAAATTCGACCTCGTCTCCACAAATCTGACAGATTTGTCCACTCAATTCTTTTACAGAAGTCACCTGCCAAAAATCAAAGGGATAAAAAGTAAATTAATTTAATTTATGTGTCAATTTAGCAGCAGATCAAGAAATATTTTTTGCTGAGTCAGGTGAAAAATTGAAGTTGGAATAAGATAGTGAGATGAAATTAATTATGAGCGGCGCTGAAATCTAGAAAAGTTGAAAAAGTGGAGCTAAGATACACACCTAAATCAGGAAAAAATCATTTACTAAATTGATTTTATTCATCAAACTCTAAAAATCTCATCTTTTTTTTTTCTAAAGAAAATTAAAATAAATAAATAAATAAAAAGAGAGATTGATTGATTCTAGACCAAAATTTCATAGCAGAAATTGTAGAATGACACTCCATTTTCAGAAACCCAATCATAAAAATCAAATCTTTACCAACTAAAAACACTTAAAACTGAGAAATTAGTCAAAAAATCAAGAATTTAATGGCAAATTAAAAAAAAAAGGAAAATCAAGAACTCACTCTTCCAATCTCATCGGCATTGATGAGTACAAACTCATTCCTGTTATGAGAACCAGCTACAAGCCTTCCATTAGTATCCATCCCACAAAAAAAAAAAAAACCTCAAAAAAAATTCAGTCTTTCTCTCTCACACACAAGAACACACCTTGAAAATCAAGAGAGAGAGAGACAAAGAACAAAGAATATCTGGCCCATAAACACACACACACACACACAAATTAAATAAATAAAAAGAAGAAAAGAAATGCCACTGCCCCTCTGAATTTTAATTTTTTTTTTCCTCTCTTTCTTAAATACAAACCCTTCGTATTAAACAATGAACTGAAAACGATACATTAACAGACACCAAAAACGAAAACGCCGTCGTATTATTGTGGAGTGAAATGTCGGTTCGTGTATTATAAAGAGAGAGAGAGAGTTTTCTGTGTTTTTTTTTTCTTTTTGGTGGGAAGGTGGGTTTTCTCTTTCTTGATTCTTTTCTTGAGAGAGAAACCCACTGTTTGTGATAAAGAGAGCCTCTCGCTCTCTCTCTCTCTAGATTATTTTCTCTCTCTAGTTGCTGCCGCTAGCTGTGAGCTGTGAGGGGGTGGTGGTGTGTGTGTGTGGATCAGAGAATCAAATGCCACGGTGGTTTGAACAAGTGATCGACAAAGACAAAAAACAATGGTGTTGCTGTAATAAATTAAAAACAAATTTACGGGTAGAGAGAGAAGCGGCAATAATAATTGACTTTAGAGAGAGAGAGAGAGAGTGTTCAAAGATTCAACGCGCAATGCACAAAGGGAGATTGAGATTAAACATTTTCTTTGCAATAATAATAATTAATATGTTTATTATTTGGAAGCGGGCCCCAGCCGCTAGCGGTGGGGGGCGGCGGTGGGGGGCGGCGGTGGGGGGCGGTGTTCCGGCGAGGGGTATTTTGGTCATTTAAATTTCTTCCCTTTTGCGGGTGGGGGGTAATAAAGTTTTGACGACAGCGACAGGACATTTATTACAAGAAAAAAACAATTCTCTCACCTTCTTCACATTTATGTGTTTTTGTTTCTTCAGTTTTATGACGGGAGAGGGTATTTTGGTAATTTTAGTGGTTGTTGAATCTTTTTTTTATTTTTTTGGTTGGGTTAAAAGACACAGACATTTATTATATAATAAGAATATAACCAATTTCCTCACCTTCTTCACATTTATGTGTATTTATTTGGTTGGTTTATGACGTCACTATTTAGTGATGGAGTTGGTGTTTTTGCAGGTTTATAATATTTTATTATTAAATTTTCAGATTTTTGTTATATTTTCAAGGGAATATTCCATCCGTTTTAAATTATTTACGACTTTATAGAATTTTTTTTGTTCAATATATGACAACTACAGAATTTTCATAATATATTATATACATTTTTTTATTACCACAATTTTTTTCAAAAAATTGAGTGTAAGCTTTGAAAATATGGCAACAAATTAGTGCATTTTTTGTAATTGAAATCAACGTTAGGGGTTTATAGTTTATTTAATGCTACACCCGATGATATGTAACAGGTGATTATTAATCGTCGATATATACATAATGACACACGATCATATGTATGCGTGTTTATTGGGTATTTATTTAACCATATCAATAGTTAAAAGTTGGACCAGTTGTTTCATCTCAATAATAACGGACAGTTTTTGTTCCTTAAATTTGCATTAATTATACATTTGGACCCTTATGTTCACAAAAAAACACATTTGGTCCTTCATGTTCACAGAAAACACACTTGGTCCTTCATGTTTCAATAATTCAACATTTTTAGTTATTTTCGTCAATTTTTCTTTAGTACTAACGGAATCAAGTGTGTGCATATGACTACCTTAACTGACGGAGTAACGGTAAATTGACGTAAATGACCAAAAAATGTTAAATTATTTAAACGTGAGGTCAAATGTAATTTTTTTAGAACATGAGGTACCAAATGTGGAATCAGTTCAAACTTGAGGGGTGAAAACTGTAATATTCTCCAACAATAACATTTATATCATTCCCTCCTTTTAACAAGGTTCAAATTTTCATTAAAAAAAATAAAAATCAAAATCAAACGATTTTATAAGAGATATACATCCTGGAAATCCAAACAATCCACGTTTCTATGTTATTGGGAAAATAAATCCAAATATAGAGGGTCGGTCTATATTATAATTTATTTACCTGAATTGACAAAAATATCCCTCTATAAGTAGTATGCAGAAAAGGGGCGAAATTGAATTTGTTACTTCTATTTTGGTGAAATTGCAAATCAGGTGCACAAGAAACTTGCCTTGCAGGAAAAGGGACAGGTAAATCCGTAATTATATATTACTTTTGCTTTTTTCATTCAATAAAAATCTTTAGATACAATACTATTTTTAATATAATGTTTTCTAAAATATTTGTAAATTTAAATAATAATAATAATAATAACAGAATCATATATAAATTAAATAATAATAAAAAAAAGGAGTGACTAGTCAGAGGAAAACAATAATATATAGAATCATATATTGAACTGCATGCTCAGTAAATATTGCTTCAAAGATCAGCCAACTACACCCCCATAAACGTGCACTTCTGTTCAGCACCTTTCTTTCTTTCTTTTTCTTTTTTTTTTTTAAATAAATAAAATGCCAAATCTTTATTTTTTATTTATTTATTTTCTCGGTTAGATATGATTTTAAGACATGTTATTTAATTGGAATGGCTTCACCGACACACATAGGCATGTGAAATTGAAAGAGTTATAGATCTATTCACATTCTTCTTTTCACTCTATTCCATCTTGTCCCACTCTTCTTCTTACTGTTTGCCATATTTTTTTTATGTTTTAGGGCATAAATACAATTTAACTACTTTATATATATATATATATATATATATATATATATATATATATATAAAGTAATTATATATAAACTTCTAGATTCCGTGGAATATTCTATAGTTTGTACTCGTTTGGTGCAAGAATATAGTTTCTGATACACCACAATCTGAAATATACAAGCCAAAAACACATATTATAATTATCTTGCTTCAAAATGTGGAGATCGAATGGGATAAAACGGGTACAAACTTGAGAGTGTTTCATATAATATAGAAGATTCCACTAAATTTGACACCGCAGGATTTAATGTGGAAGAAGATTCATAATTGAGGAGTCGATGGTTGTAATTACCCAAGCATAAGGGGGTTTTCGTAATTAACCTTACCTCAGGGGTGATCGTAATTTATCCCCCATATATAATTAAAGATAGTTTATGTCATCATATATTTTTTAGAATATAACTTTGGCATGAAAGTGCAAATAATTTGCAATTAGACTATTATTTTCACTTCACTCAAATACAATTTTAAATTGCATTTTCCCACAAAATTATAATGATAAATTAATAATTATTATTATATAACAACAACAAAAAAAACTAAAAAAATACACAATAACCACCCTAAAGAATGCAACTACATGCTCCATAGGTTTAGTTGGTCTGTCCATTTAAACATTTAGTGTGTGTATTTAATGTCAATTTTCTGAAGATTGTGACACCCTTAAAATAATTATGTACATAATTTCTTGCACAATCTTATGATTATATATAATGTTTACAAAATTATTAAATAAATAAAATTGCAATTGATAAGCCAAAGGCGTGCTTACAAAAGGATCCTTGAATGGTAGGTTGAAATATACATATGATACATATATATATATGACAGCAAAGTTTGACGAATTTAATAAATAAAAAAAAATACTATATTGCTAATTCGAGTTGCAATTAATTTGTGATAGTTAGAACATGACAAATGAAAACATGTTCCAACCACTCTTTATCCAAATACTCACTACATTAATCACTTAATTATAGTTTTAATACAACTTGGGCCTTACTTAATTGAATGATTGACAAATAGTATTTTCGTAATTAATTAATACTTTTACTAAATTATGTAGTAATTAAATCTCAAGAAGACCGTTGGTGATCGATCCCCCATGGGAGGAAGACTTGTGAAACTAAATTCTACCGACAACTTGGTATTAATTTAATAATGTACATTGGTGGTTAGAAATAGAATAGAATTTTGATTCTCTCAATGTAATTAAATAGCAAGGGAAAGTTATTTTTTATATATTTTTTATTTAATTATTCATCCTTTTCTATTGGGTAAATTACGGTCACACTCTGAGGTAATGTCAAATTACCAAAAAACTCCTTATTTTTGGGTACTTACTATCACCCATGAACTATGAATTTTTTTATACGTCCATCATTGGGGTGTCAAATTTCGTGGAATCTTTTAGATTACGTGGAATATTTTTCCAGTTTGTACCCGTTTTACCCTATTCGAGCTCCATATTTTGAAACAAGATTTATAGTTGCTGGGATAATTGAAATTATTCAAACTGAAGGGAGTTTTTTGTAATTTGACATAGCCTCAGGGTGGCTGTAATTTACCCTTTTCTATTTTTAATATTATGAATTTTTAAATTGTGTACTTAATACTTCTTAAGAAACAGTTGACTGTGTATTTCCAGTTCTGCCCCCTTGACTAATTTTTGTTTTTTCTTGCATCCTTACATGTATTTTAATGTAATTATATATATAGAAAAATTTGTACGACTTACTTACACTTGGTTAATGATTCGATCGAAAATCATATATATTTTACTAGATATCAAACATTGAGATATAATATAAACCAACAAATCGATCTCTATTACTTACATTGCCAATAAAACATCGAGATTAATTCAAATATTCCTTCGAGTAATTAATTACTTGATGGAAAAAATACAGTTTTTATCTCTAAAATTTGAACTGATTTCCCATTTGGTCCCCATGTTTACAGTAAACATATTTGGTCATTCATGTTTCAAAACTTCAACACTTTTAGCATTTCCATCAATTTTATGTTAAAACTAATGGAATCAAACACGTGCACATCTGTATCATAACTGACGGAGTATGGGTAAATTGACGAAATTGACAAAAAATATCACATTATTGAAACATGAAGGACCAAATGCATTTTTTTTGTGAATATGGGGACCAAATGTGAAATCGTTGCAAACTTGAGGGATGAAAATTGTAAAAATTTTCATTAATTAATTAATTAAATGTTGCACCGTGCGTGCAACTCATTCTTGGATTACACACACACACACAAAAGTGTGTGATCTATATACAACATTAGGTGTAGTGAACTTTGATGCTTCATTTATGAAATTATTGAGGGATGATCTATGATTCAACTTATAGTCTTATATAATTAGATAGCATTAATTTTTAGTAATTAATTTTGTAGGATGGAATTTATTCGTGATGAAATAGTATTAGAAATAGGACGACTTTTATGATTTACGATGATATTTTAGATGGCGATTTTTGTGAGAGTGCCGAGAAATAATCAGTCATAGGATGTCTATTGCGCGAGAACATGCACATAATCTGGAATATAAAATATAACGAATTTATAAAAGATAAACCATTTTATAATACGAAATCGTTCCTCTTAATAATTGATTTTTATGTGATTCAAATTATCAAAGTGGGGGAGATAAAAAGTAATTATATCAAAAAAAGTCGTAATTTATGTTCAAGATACGACTATATCGTAATTATTTTATGATAATTTTAATTATAATTTTATTATTACCAAAAAGTTTCATCATCAAATATTATTATAATTGTAAAATCAAGATCTAACATCTTATTAATCATTAATTGGTATGATAATTAAGATTGTTTAAATAAAATAAACAGGTAATTAAAAGTGTAAAACTTAGGGCTTTTTTCCCGAAGCATAGGATACTTTAAAATATTCAAATATGCTGGTTCTAAATTCTAATCATTAGCTAATTACAAAGTTACGCTGTAGAAGAAATTAGATTCCTTCTGTTTGGCACGTGTCGATCATCCAATGGCTCCTCAATTGAACCTCAATTTCCACAATAAAGTTTACCTCGTGTAAATGACCATGGTTTATTTATTTTTAATTAAAAAAAATAACATAATTAATCTTACTATAAAGTTAAAGCTTAGGACAATCCGTGGGACAACATTTTCATCTATGATAACATTTATTAGGGTCCTTTATTTGGTGCAACATGTGATGGGGTAGGTGTCTGATTTTTTTGGTCTCGTAAATGTTAAATTTAGTGAATTTCGTTGCGTGGTAAATCATGGTAAATTTATACACAATCATACGTATAAATGTGTGGATGACATAAGATTGTGTATGAAATATTTACACATGTACAATCAATTGCAAGTCCAGTATTTTATTACATGATAGACTTATTTTTTTGGGATTCGGTGGCAGCGTCCCCAGAAAAAAATTTAGGACATTTTTTACATTTATTTGGATTTGCAGCTAATTAATAAAAATAAGGTGGTCTAAATACAATTATAAGGATAATTTAATGGACCAAATTTTAAATGACCCTCTCAAAGGGGTGGACTTGCACATGTATACAATTTAGTTACTATCAAATATGGGTGGCAGTACAACTGAAAAATCGAGTTGTCTCGAACATTCTGCATAGCAAAATGTTGGTACAATTTGTTTTTTCGAGAATAATAATATAACTAAAATAAAATATTTTCGAAAAATTAATTCTCTCAATTTATCTTTAAGTAACATTTTAGCAAGATAAATGTATTTTACATAGTCTTTTTTTTAATCATTATATTATCCGTCCTTCAGCAACTTCAATGAATATTACTAAATAAAAAAATATTTGAAGACAAATACTAACTTTGGATGAATTAATATTTTATAGAAAATTAATTAAAATCCTAATAGAATAGGGAACATTCTTTTATAGCTATATAGAGTGATAGAGCCAATTGATAATTAGTAATTACAGCATATCCAGTTTAAAAGCTTAATCTAGATACAATGATTCATCAATTAAGAAAAACATACGAATCAAGAAATATAATTATAAGTATAATAAATAATTAGAAATACAAAATTTAAATCCACGTAAGTAAATCGGCCAACATTAGAAACATGAAGAGCCACGCGAGGTGTCCCGCTCGAAACACACGCGCTGATTTTCGTCGGTGGAAAGCAAAACGAAATATAATAAATAAATAAATGAAAAACTAATGGTCAATGTGTGGGGCCCACAGGAGCCAGTAGTAAATTCCACTAAGTATTTAGTCCACGCTGCGTTCTAGATCGCCCCTTGCCGACAGAAGCTAATCGCCCAGATCTAACGCCGTAGGATGAGCCACGTGTCACACAAAGTGGGCCCAGCGTTACAGCTAAGTGAAAAGACGAAGTTCGCCTGTCCCTTTCATTAGCTGTCCATCAATTTGTCGAGAGAGGTTCGATTTTTCATTTGTCATTTTTTCTAGGGTAAATTACAAACACACCCTAAGGTATAGTCAAATTACAAAAACACCCCTATTGTTTTAATAATTACAACTACCCCTCAACTCATCAAATTTAGTGGAATCTTCGATATTATATAGAATATTATCACTTTTGTACCCGTTTTATCCCATTGAAACTCTACATTATGAAGCAAGATGATCATAATATGTGATTTTTAGCTTGTATATATCAGTTTGTGGTGCATCGGAAACTGTATTTTTTACACAAAAATAGTACAAACTAGAGCACATTTCACGGAATCTAGATGACTATGTTGAATTTGGCATCATAAAGGTGGAGGTCTAAGAAAAAATCATAGTTGAGGGGGTATATGTAATTATCCAAACAAGAGGGGGGTTTCTGTAATTTGACCATACATCGGGGTGTTTGTAATTTACCCTTTTTCTATAATAATTATAAAAGAAAATCATAATAATTACGCTATTTTATTTAAAATTAATAATGAAGGGTTGGTAATGTATCAAAACTCTATATAATTTAATTGATTGTAAATATAAAATATTCGAAGATTAAGAAAATTTTAATGATGTGATTTTGTAATTTTAAAAATATACATATATAATATCATGAAAGATGACTGTATCCACGATACATTTTTGGTACAAACAAAGTATAAATTAATTAATTAAAATAATTGATTAAAATAGATTAAAAAACCCAAACAAAATCAAATCTTTAGAAAAATATTTCGTAGAAATTATGTTTATATATATATATATATATATATTAGGAGAAACATATGGTACTTTATTTAGTATATCGTAGTATTTAGTTTTATCTAATTGCAGGTGGATAGTGGGGAGTGGGGGCTGATCTTTCTTTTCAGTAAAAAAATGGGGCACATTTGCTATTAACTTATAGATAAGGGCTTCTCGAAAAATAAGGCGGGAAAAGGATATTAATAATGATAATTTCCCCTCTATAATTTTTTTACTCTTCATAAAATATTTAAATAAAAATACAGTTTTTTTTCTTTGTAAAATTAGAATGACAAATGAATTAAAAATGATTACACGATCCTAACTGAGCTTATGAGATGATTAGTATAATTAATACTGATAAAATAGTAAGGTGGATGGTCATTATCAATTTATTTAAGTATAGAAGATTTTTATTTTTATTTTTATTAATTTTGGTAAGAATAATGAATTTAAATATAATTGGAAGCTATCAAATAATAGAGTTTAGGAGTTAGGACAAATTTTGTGGTGACAGTCTGTTTAATATTGTAGAAATGCTTGTCTTCCTGGACCTCTGCCGACATATTCAGTCATGTGTTAATCACATGAGCGTTCAAGTC